TGAGCACTGAACTGAAACAATCACTTTTAATTACCTGATCTACTGTCCCCATACAGTAAGACTGGGTCCCGGCAGCCTTTCCTCCTTGATGCTCTGGTGGTCAAAGGCACTGTGATGTCATCAAGTACAATGCAGGGCCAATAGCCCTGCATTCTGCATGAAGATGCCAAGGAACTTCCCATGACCCAGAGCATCAGGGAGAAGAGGAGAGTGCCAGCTGCTGGGGGAGTGGGGGATCAAGTAAGTAAAAGTGCTTGTCATGGGTACCCTAGGCGATGGGCATAAATACCCTTGCAGTGCTGGGGGAGCCCCACTGCAAGGGTTAATTCAAGTTAAAATCTTTACCCCAATAAACCCATATTGGTTATTGAAAATAATCAATACCCTTCTGGGCTATTGGAAGTTCAGCTTTAAAGAAGAACTCCGGGCAGAAATAATGGGGCTACTGCGAGGTTAAGTGCTCGTTTTTATCTAGGGTGTAAAATAAAAAATATATGCTCACCCAAACTGCAGACATGCCTGGCTGCCAGACCGGTACCTGCAGCCTCTCTTCCCCTCTGCTACAGCAGTCTAAGGTCCTGTGCATCATCACCTCTAATACAGTGTATTGGATGTGAGGACAACGAGGGATATTCCATTGCTGGAGAGTAACAGGAGAGAGGTTGCGGGGACCAGTCTAGCAGCCATGAAGGGCCGTGGTTTGGGTAAGTATATCTATTTTTATTTTTCACCTTAGACAAAAGCGAGCCCCTAACCCTGGCAGTGCGGGGGTAGCCCCATTGCAAGGGTTAAGATTGTTTCAGCCTGGAGTTCTCCTTTAAAGCTCAACTCTCAACAGCCCACTGGTGCTGCGTTGCCAAAAGTAGCACATATTAATTTTTTGGATGTTGTGGTGTGTCATCAGCCCCATCCATTTGCACGCAACATCAGCACCAGGGCAGTCCCTTTAATGAAGCAGTCTGAGGCTGTTGCTTCAGGCGGCATCTTTTTTGGGTCATGTGACCCCCCTTTCCAGCCAGAGCATCCCAGGTTCCCAGGACAAAACATTGGGAAATGTTAATGCATTGCAGAGATATACTTTGCTCAGACTCACACTTTAAATAAAGTGGAGATCATTTGAAAGACAAATAAATATTTTATTGCTCAAAATCAAATCCATTTTGTGACATCAAAGTCACTTTCTCAGGTTATTGTACTCGAGCCAAGAAGGAGCTGGTGCTGTCGGAATGATCATCAACGGCTATAAAATATCACCAAGACATAGAAAAAAATTACCACAGCCGCCCTACTGCTCCTTCATCATAAAAATTGATTGTTTATTGTTTTGTTCTTTTGCGAAGTCCATTTTAGTATAGACACGTTATAGAATATAGAATAGATACTTTATAGAATAGAAAATAGACAATTTATAGAATAGAATATAGAATAGACACTTTATAGAATATAGAATAGACACTTTATAGAATATAGAATAGACACTTTATAGAATATAGAATAGACACTTTATAGAATAGAAAATAGACAATTTATAGAATAGAATATAGAATAGACACTTTATAGAATAGAATATAGAATAGATACTTTATAGAATAGAATATAGAATAGATACTTTATAGAATAGAATATAGAATAGATACTTTATAGAATAGAATATAGAATAGATACTTTATAGAATAGAATATAGAATAGATACTTCATAGAATAAAATATAGAATAGACACTTTATAGCAGGGGCTGACTGGCAACTTTTAGCCCAGGGGGCAAGTACAACCCAGAGGCCCATGGTGCAGCAACTTGGCCCCCCTCCTGCTCTGCCTCTTCCCCGCTTCTGTCTGCCACTTTTGCCATCCATGTAACGGTAGTGTTGATAGTCGGGTGATGTGAGGACTCCTAGTAAGTCCATGAAAGGGGTGATTGGCTGGGGGATGGTGCTCTCCTCCCACTGGGCTCCCTACATGGTTCTGGCCTTACTCCACTCCATGTCCACTACTTAGGCACTCTCACCCAGTGTGTGAGCTGTGGGAGGTTAGTGGGAGGCGCCGGACAGTGTCAAAGTCAGTGTTCTATAATTTTTCTCGACTGTGTCACTTCCATTGGGGCCGAGTCATCCAAATCAGCTGTTTTCATGACCCCCTTTTTTCATGACATGCGCACCTGGAAGTAACGCGGTAGAGAAATATATGGGATGAGGAAAATTATAGCACACTGGTAGTGGATGGATCCCTAGTCAGTGCTGTGCACGTGTACGACTGCTGCGACCCTGGTAGTTCTGCCACTAACTCCAAGCTCTAGAGGGACTACAAATCTCAGCACATTATACAGCAATGCAGAATAATACCACCAGCTATAGAGGACTATAAATCTCAGAAATACATTGTACATCATTGCAGAATGGCATTGGCTATAGAGAACTACAATTCCAAGCAATACATTATACAGCAATGCAGAATACCACCCGCTATAGAGGACTATAAATCTCAGAAATACATTGTACAGCATTGCAGAATTTCATTGGCTATAGAGAACTACAATTCCCATCAATACATTACACAGCAATGCAGAATAATATGAAACTACATACTCTGTTGCTCTGGGTTCTCCACCTGATGTCTAAAGGGTCTCAGGAGGGTTGTGCGGGCTCTCACCAGGGGTCCAGAGAGTTTCACGGGTGCGTGTGGGTGCAGCAGAGGTGGCTCCCTAATTAGGCTCTCAGGTGGCCAATGCCGACTGTCAGTTGGTCAGTGCGGGCTCTCGGCTGGTCAGTGTGGGATCTGTGCTGGTCAGTGCGGGATCTGTGCTGGTCAGTGGACTGCTTTATAGAATATAGAATAGATACTTTATAGAATAGAATATAGACGACACTTCATAAAATAGAATAGATACTTCACAGAATATAATATAGAATAGACAATTTGTAGAAAAGAATATAGAATAGAATATAGAATAGATACTTCATAGAATAGAATATAGAATAGATACTTTATAGAATAGAATATAGAATATACATTTTATAGAATAGAATATAGAATAGATACTTCATAGAATAGAATATATAATAGAATATAGAATAGAATATAGAATAGATACTTTACAGAATAGAATATAGAAGACACTTCATAGAATAAAATATAGAATAGACACTTCATAGACACTTTAAATTATTACTACTACCTCTACTACTACTAATAACAATAATACATTACTACCACTACTACTATTGCTGCTGCTGCTGCTGCTATTACTACTACTAATAATAATATAAAAAAAAGTATTACTACTACTAATAATAATAATAATACTAATAATAATTTATTTATTATTACTACCATCACTACTATTGCTGCTACTACTACTAATAATAATACCAATACAAATAATAATAACAATTTATTGATTATGAGGTTCTGTTAGTTGATGAAAGAATCAGATAAGGGAGTCGTTGGAGATGGGGACAAAATAATGCTTTGTGGCAAACGATATCTATTCTGTAAGACATTTTATATAAAGTAGCAACAATGGTAAACTTGTACAACGCAGTATAATGACGTCTGTGTATCACAGCCTTGCCATAGCTGAAACTCGCCTTCGCCACAGAGAACTTGCAACAAAACACGTTAAAGTATGTTACGTGCGCCAGTGTACTGCAGTGTAAATAATTCTGAATGGCACCCCAACACATTATGGCCGGGGTGGGCAACGCCAGCCCTCAAACTACAAATCCTAACATGCATCTGGGAGTCATGCCTGTAACTATCAGTCTTGCACTGCCTCATGGGACTTGTAGTTCCACAACAGCTGAAGGTCCGGAGTTGCCCATCCCTGCACTAAGCCATCGCAGCTCTGATGCACCACAATGCATGATAACACCCTGCAATGCGTTCTGGTGCGCGGTATTGGAAAAAATGGGGCATTTTCTTTTTTTTAAATGTTTTTGTGCATTGTCAGCCCATTCAGCTACACACGTCAGCATGTGACACTACGCCTGGTAATGTGCGCGCATTAATGCAGCACACAAAAATGGCAAAGCGTGCATCCAGCCAAGTTAAAAGAATATAAACACTTTGATCCATAAGATTTAAAAGAGGGATCGTTGTGGAAGAACAGAAGGATCTGGCACAGAGGTTGCTGACCTAGCTAAGTGAATGTCAGTGAAGCTGTTCCCACTTTGACCACCCAATCATATTCTAGCAAAGTGCAATTAAATTGAATTTCCCTTCCCCGTAATTGGGTATTCAAAGGGAAGACAAGTTCCATTTACCAACATTCACTTCGCTGGGTGAACGGCCTCTACGTCTTTAGTGAATGGGCCCCTTCGCCTGTCATGTAAATCATACCTGTAATTCATGTGTATAGAGCAGGTATCCTCTGATGAAGAACCAGTAGAGGCTGGTGAGCAGGGACGGTCCAGGCAAATCGTCGTACGTCTTAAACTTTTTGTCGTCCTCCGCTATCTGGGCGGTTGCGGCTCCGCTTACTGCTCTGTGCTGTGTCCCCCCCACTCCACTCACCTCTCTGGCCTGTGTCCCCCCCACTCCACTCACCTCTCTGGGCTGTCCCCCACCTACTGTGCTCACTGCTCTAAGCTGTATCCCCCCTACTTCAGTCATTTCTCTGTGCTGTGCCCCCCCCCCTCCGCTC